AGGGTCTTAGCGATTCACGTAGGCGTCTGCGATAAGCTCACCTTGGATGTCCTCGGCCTCTGTGATCATCTCGGCTTGTCTTCGGTGCTGCAGGACACCATTCAGTTTCCTCACGATAAGCACAGTTAGGTGAACACCCGCCGGCAAACGAATGAGCGGAGCAAAACGGCGGGCAAGCGCTACCAGCAGACGCAGGGTGGCTACCAAGTCTCTGGTAAAGATGGCGGAGATAGGCCATTGTTGAGCGGCATAGGCCTCTGAGACACCGAGGGCGTTGTTTATTTCCTCCAGTACTACCTAATTAAAAAGAAAATCAGCGAAGATCAGCATAATGCTGTGATTGTGGTGGGGGCAATGCTTCAAGATCACAGTGGGAGCAAACTTAGAAATTACCTTTAAACGCTGACGCTGTCCCATTTCAGTCTGAGTGAGCTCAGGGTAGTTAGTGGACCGCTTGGTGAACTTCTCCAGGAGTTTCTGAAGCACCTGGCCATCATAAAAGTCTCCCTCGATGTCCCTCACGAGGATTCGGTCGTCAATCAATTCCCTATTAATCCAATCGACCAGAGTATCAGCCAGCTCTCGGACCAGTGGCTGCTCCTAAAATAAATTAGAGCATTTTTAGCATGTGACCAGAATAAAAATAGTGACAGCAAGAATGCTGAATTATCTTCGGGCTGGAGTGGCCAATAAAGCGGAGTCCACTACCAGAGAGCAGATAAAAAGATCCAAAATCCGATAGTGACGGCAGAACAGTCAGCAGATGTCTAAGGCATAACTTGCCGAAATTTTAGTCCAGGATAAGTTGGTGAAAGGGGCATGCACCTCTGCCCAACATGGCATGAACACTAGCTTGTCGTCAGCCTCGAGGATAGAATATCGTTGGCATATAGCGCCATAGAATAGGAGGAGTAAAATTTCGCTTACGGGGGAGCAAGAGTCATCGGCCAAGCGAATGTGAAGCTAGCCAGACTGGTACGCGAAAGTGCGTTCTCGATTGGCAGAGATGACCGACACCCTACCAAGCGTTACTTACAGTACTCCAGTCAGTCCAAACCAGACCGAAAGCACCGGCAAACAAGTCATAGCTGCTTGAAAATTCCGGAGTCACGCGAGCGGCGGAAACATACATCCACCAACCCGCCCAAACAGCCAAACGTGAGTTGTACATGCGGTGATGGCTACTGACCTCATCCAGTTATGAGGTCATAGTTCGTGCGTCAGGTCTGCATATAATACGACACAGGCAGCGCAACAGAAAAAATACATGCAAGTAGAAAATACGCCTGGCCACTTTGCTGATGGAACCAAGAAATG